ATTGAGTTGTAGATGATGGTTTTTCATCCATGCTGAAATGTCCGTCAGACAGTCTGAGATTGGTGTAGCTACTGTGGGATCAATTTGAAATTAAAAGTAGAGCTGTGAGTCATTAGCGTTAATGTAAGTCTTCTGACTTGTATTACTGATGCTTTGTAGATTTTTCTTATTTTGAACTGTTCTTTTTTAATAAAGAAACAGAATCAGGTTTTACATGTCAATTAAGTATTTTTCACTTTGCAACAAAATACTTCTGTAATCTAGTACATATATTATTACAGTTAGTATGCCGTTAAAAAGAAAACTATCAAATTTGAAGCAATTCTTGAGCTTGCTTTTTTTTTTTTTTAATTCATAGTCAATTAATTCACATGTGATTGTTTTTTTACCATCCTGTGTTTCTGACTGGAGTGTGAAAATTCTGCATATTAGTGTTCACATGGTGAGAGCTACAGGTTTTGGTGGCATTAATGGTTTGTAAACGCTACTGAACAGGAACACATGGTGTCAAATGCTGAATAGAGTTGTGAAACACAAGAATAGCTTTAATAGTTCTGAGAAATATTTTAGAAAATGGGTTTTGTGTTTGTGACATTTGGCTTTAATAATGGATTTTAGTGTCTAAACTGAGAAAAACTGTAATAAGAATAGAGTTAAAAAAAAACATTTAACCAAATATGAGCAACAGTGATATTGACATTTAAATTAAATTAAAATTGTGTTTAGTTTTACTAACATCTCTCATTCTGCAAGAAGCACTAACAAAACAAGATCTGAAAACCACCAGGATGAGCTTCTCCTCACATTGCATGTGGTTTATTTGGCATGACGGCTCCATTAACTAGAAATTCTTAGTAATGCGTCTAAATTGTTTATTCCTTCTCTTGTACGTCCTCTTTCACATCATTCTCTCAGTTAAATATTGATGCTTGTCTGATGTCAGCTATATCTGTCTACAAAATATTTATAAGGGAAAAAAAATCTAATAATGGTTACTTTCTTCAGATTTTGTAGATTGTCACTACACAGTCAACAGAGTGAAACATACAGTGACCAGAGAAGTCTGCATTGTTGTCCTGTTCTATTGTACTTTTGTATTTGACATTGCTGTGCTTACGTTGTTGTTCAGAGCAGTACCTCACACATTTCACTGCTCAGTTTTCCACCATGCAGAAACTGTTCAAATGAAAATAAAAGTCTTATGACCTTTTTACATAATTAAACAGACTTCTGAGAGCTGAAAATAAGAAACAACTGAAAATATTTTTTCAAATGAAGTCAAGTCACCTTTATTTATAAAGCATGTTATGCAATACAGATTGAGTCAAAGCAGCTTTACAGTATTAAACAGGAAAATAGTGTGTTGATAATGCAAGAGGACAATAGTAAACACTCAATATTTCAGTTAAAGTCAGTTCATCATTGATTCAGTGATATCTGTGCAATCAAGTCCACGATATTGCCAGAAATTATGTGTCCCCAACTAAGCAAGCCAAAGGAGACAGTGGCAAGGAACCAAAACTCCATCGGTGACAGAAATGGAGAAAAAACCATGGGAGAAACCAGGCTCAGTCGGGGGGCAAGTTCTCCTCTGGCCACACGGTTTAATTCCAGGTTTATTCCAGTGACCCTCCGAATAAGAATGAAAGAGACTAATATTAGCGTAGACGCCATTCTTCTTGCAATGTAGCGAGTACATCAGGTGTTATGAGAAGTGTTCACATTGCTGTTGACCTAATTAATGCAGCCTAACAATCCTTTAACAGATTTGAATGATAGAAATGTGATAGTGTGTTATGTGTATGTTAGGTTAAAGAGATGGGTCTTTAATCTAGATTTAAACGGACAGTGTGTCTGCCTCCCGAACAACGCTAGGTAGATTGTTCCAGAGTTTGGGTGCTAATAAGAGCTCACTGAAGTACTGAGGAGCTAAACCATTCAGGGCTTTATAAGTAATTAGCAAGATGAATTAACGCTTCTGCATTTGACATTGAGAGCAAAGGTTGTAATTTAGATATATTCTGAAGATGGAAAAATGCGTTTTTACAAATGCTGGAAATGTGGCTTTCAAAGGAATGATTGCTAATAGCACACCTAAGTTCCTAACTGATGACAAAGAATTGACAGAGCAGCCATCAAGTGTTAGACATTATTCTAGGTTATTACATGCAGAGGATTTTGGTCCGATAATTAATACCTGTCTTTTCAGAATTTAGCAGTAGGAAATTACTAGTAAATTCCTACTACTAAATTACTATGCATTCCCTTTGTTTTGAAAATTGGTATGTTTTATCAAGATGTGAAGAAATATAGATCTGGGGCCCGTTCTTCGCACGTCGCTGTCTCAGTTAGCTGGATTTGATTGTTGATGATTTGGCATGATCTTGGATTGTTTGGTTCTTCGAAGCTCATCCTGGAGTTGCTGTCATAGCAACAGGTCCGTAAGATTAAACCGGTTCGGGTGCAGCTTCTTTCATTAGATTGCATCTTTTTAAGCAGAATTGATACTTAAAATCTGTCCTCTACCACCACTACTTTATTACAAGAGTACCCTACTAATCCAGGCACAATAATTTAAAAATAATAATAATTTAAAAATTAATTTAAAGATAATATAATAATGTTGTGTAGTCTTTAATACTACAGACACAGCCAGTTTTACACACTGAAAGATTTATTCTTCATAAAATTATTACTTCATAATTGTATTCGAGTCTACACACATGCTATACAGATAATGTAGAGTCGTGCATTAATTTGAGTGGTGACCGCTATTATGGGAGTGGCTTGATGCTCCATCATGTGCTCCGCAGGAGATGCAGATAACATGATCTTGACCCTTAAGAAACTTTAATTAATGCTGTCATGTAACAAATCTGTTCAAATATAAAATTAAATGAATTGCTAATTACTACATTGAAATAAAAATGTAAAGCCTGTACAAATATTAGAAATCGTGAATATAAATAATTGGGAATCATGTAAAAAATTTAAATAAAATAAAAACGCTGGGCTGTTTCCTTATAAAAGTCCAAAAATTTGTCAAGTTTTTGTCTTTTTTAGTTATTGATGTCATTACGTTGCTGTCTTGTCGCCAGCCAATCACTGCATTGCTGATCGTGGTTTTGAGTATCAATACATAGCCCCTTTTAAACCAACCCATGAATGCGCAATTAACTCAGATAACTCAATCCAGCCATACTAATCATCAATAACAGGTGCGTTCGAAAAACCGAATTAGCCAGATCCTGATTAGCGCGATGATATCATCTTGGATGTGACATTTCATCTCGGATGTAATAAGCGACGTACAAAGAATGGGCCCCTGAGAATCATCAGCATAACAGTGAAGGCAAACACCATGTTTGCTGATGATATCTCCCAAGGGTAAACTTGTAAAGTATGAAAAGCAACGGTCCTAGTACTGAGCCTTGTGGTACTCCGTACTGCACTTTTGATCTTAATGATCTCATGATCTCTTCATTCACTGCTACGAACTGATGACAGTCAGATAAATATGATTTGAACCATGACAATGTAATTCCACTAATGCCAACATAATTTTCTAGTCTATACAAAAGAATGTTGTGGTCGATAGTGTCGAACGCAGCGCTAAGATCCAGTAGCACTAATAGAGAGAGCAGGTCATTTGTAACTCTGGTAGAGCAGTCTCAGTACTATGACGCAGTCTAAATCCAGACTGGAAATCCTCACAGATACCATTTCTCTCTGAAGAATATAGCTGAGAGGATACTGCCTTTTCTAGTATTTTTATTCGAGTATAGTATTTTTGATTTGAGATCGGACTGTATTGAACTAATTCTCTAGGATCAAGTTGTTGTTTTTTTAATGAGAGGCTTAATAACAGCCAGTTTGAAGGTATTTGGGACATATGCTAATGATAATGATGAATTAATATTATTCAGAAGGGGATCTATGACTTCTGGAAGCACCTCTTTTAGTAGCTTAGATGGTGGGTCTAACATACATGTTGTTGGTTTAGATGATTTAAAAGATTTATACAATTCTTCCGCTCCTATAGCAGAGAAAGAGTGGAGTTGTTCCTCAGGGGATCTATAGTGCATTATCTGAGAGGGTGGATTCATTAAGATTGGAATCATAATCATTACATTTATTTCAATGCTCGTCCCTGGCCTTGGTGTATGAATATTAAACTGTGTTCACAGGTACAAATACAGTGGGTACGGAAAGTATTCAGACCCCCTTAAATTTTTCACTCTTTGTTATATTGCAGCCATTTGCTAAAATCATTTAAGTTAATTTTTAAGTTAAAGTTTAAGCTAAATACTGAGCAAAGGGTCTGAATACTTAGGACCATGTGATATTTCAGTTTTTCTTTTTTAATAAATCTGCAAAAATGTCAACAATTCTGTGTTTTTCTGTCAATATGGGGTGCTGTGTGTACATTAATGAGGAAAAAAAATTAACTTAAATGATTTTAGCAAATGGCTGCAATTTGGCTCAAAGAGTGAAAAATTTAAGGGGGTCTGAATACTTTCCGTACCCACTGTATATCAGAGTCAGACTCAGCAGAATCAGTGTCAGAAGCCTGAGAGAATAGAAATAGGTTGATGTAAGATCATAGTTGGGGTTTGGTTTGTTCTATTTCAGCTCCACCACACTAACCAGTGAGGGAGGAGCCGCAGTTGTTCACTTTATTGTCATGTAAATACATTAATACAGCCAATACCACCATTTCAAAAGAGAAATCAAAATATTGTTCCATTTCCCTTGTTCATCGAACACACTGGAATACAACTTTTCATATTAGCAAATAAATACTTGCATGTTAGTCAGTGTGACATTTTGTAAAAACATGTTACAAGATTATCAACATTATCAAAAGATCTTCTGTAACACATGAGGTATATTTGTATGTCTTTAATCTGTCATGACGTTCCTAAAGATCTGACCGCAGGTTTCAGGAAGTCTTGAGGCTTTAACACAGTCTGTGTCTTTAACCGTCTGTCATCATTCAGCAGTATGGAGCTCAGTCAACTTCCTCTTGTGCTCTGTGAGTATTATTTTCTCTTAATGTGTTTCAGTGGAATTGCTATTATATTATATAAATGATCAAGTGTTTTAGTGTTCCTAGATTTATGTATTTTCTTGCTGCTCTCAGAGTTTCAAATCCAGCTGTAGTCCATGATATATGAGTGAAGGATGAGTCTGAGAGAGGAAGTGTGCAGTTAGTGCTGTTTGTGAAAGAGAAATGCACTCTGTTGTGTTGTAGATCAGTGTGTTTGGTCAGTCATTCAGTTTTGTGTGGTGTAAAGGTGTTGAATCAGTTCTGTTGGTCTGTTTTGCAGTTATTGTAATATTCACTAGTACACAGTTAGTAAGAGTTTGTCTTTATTCTTCAGCTCGTGATCAGACTGTTAGCGTGAAGTTCCCTAAACAGTTCTCTGCTATGACCAAATCTATAAAATACCAGTCAGATGATTTCATGTTTATCAAGACACATATACAGTCCCCATTAATATTTGTTAATCTTTATAATTATTAGCTCAATGTTCACATTGTAATGAGGTTTCTCTCTGTGTTTTTAGTGCTGATTTCAAACGTCTACTCTCAACATACTGAAGGTGAGGCAATTTGATTCATATATTTCATTACATGACTGATTCTACAGCAGAGGCGGACAAAGTACACAACTCCATTGAGTGAAAGTACAGATACTGCTGGTCAAATATTACTTCATTACAAGAAAAAGTTGTAAAGACAGATTTTACTTAAGTAAAAGTACAGAAGTACTTGCTTTCAAAAGTACTTAAGTACCAAAAGTAAATTTCCTTTTTTGTGTCAATGCACTGTTTTATTGTTGTACATAGTACTTGCAATACTTCTGAAGCAACTTAGAATACATTACACCTGCTGAATACAGTACAGTGAAATCCTGTAAATATAGAGTAAGGAAGAAAAAAAATCAAACCTGCTTTAAAACCCAGCAACACAACTGTAGCTGTATAACTTTACAACAGCAACACTGCTTTAACAAAAAAGCAAAACAGTAAGACTTATTTGACATCAAAACAAACATTTTAAAAATGCTGTCTAAACGCTCTAGCGGTACTTTGACGTCACACACAGAACAGTCTGTGCAGTCCAACACCTATTGTGTTTTATTAGGAGATGCACAACCGTTCTTCTGTGGCTTTATAGGTAATATTTTCACGTACACAATTTAGCAAAATCAGACAATATTGTGTCTAATATATACCACAATATTAACTTCTTCTTATTGAATTGTTGTAAATAAATACCACAATTGCAACTGTTCAGTGTTCAAAAAATGCTGGGAAATCACTTCATGTAGCCCTACAAGAGTGATTACTGACAAACTGTCTGAAGAAAAGAAAGTCACATTTTAGAGAAGAAAGAAATTACTTTCAAAGCTGCTACATAGTAACAACTTTCTACTTCGAGGATTTTGATAGAAATGTAGTGGAGTGAAAAGTGCAATATTTGTCTTTCAAATGTAGTGAAGTTAAAGTCATAAGTTTCCAGAAAAAATTATACTCAAGTAAAGTACAGATACTCAAAAAGTGTACTTAAGTACAATACTCAAGAAAATGTACGTAGTTACTGTCCGCCTCTGTTCTACAGTAACTGTTACAAACCAACAGAGTTGAGTTACATTTTATCATTTTAAATGCATCCTTTTAACAAGTTGAATTATTCATGTGACAATTCTGAGGTGTGACAAGAAACACAAAAAACATCAAAAACAGCAGATATGTTTCTTATATTCTCTGTGAAATCAACATCAAACCAGTGAGAGACAAGATCTTCTGTTGGAAAACTTGTTGAAAAACTTTCACAACTCATGTTTCCAAATTCCCAATGATTGTATATTGACAGATCATTTATAAATGACTATAACAGCTTTAGAGAACAACACTTCAGTCTCATCTGATTTAGCATGTGTGTGTTTTAGACTCAAGTAACTGTTCATACAGTAGCACATTATTTTTATTGTGAATTGTTGCTGTTCTACAGAAAGACCAAAACCCAAAGTGACCATCAAACCTGATGAACATGTATTCAGAGGAGAGACAGTCACTCTCAGATGTGACATATACAGTGAAGGAGTCACTAGCTGGGAGTACATCTGGAATAAAGATGGTTCATTCTACACTGTCAGTGAACTACAGGAACTCACAATCAGTCCTGTTACTGAGTTTGATGCAGATAAATACTCCTGTTATAGAGCAGAGAGAGGAGGATCATGCAGCTCATCTATCAGTGATGAAGTTACACTGACAGTATCAGGTGAGTTTGATCTCCTCTTCACACACACTAGTGTTACTTTCGTTAACGAAGACTATGATGAAAAATGTTTGTTGACAAGCTTTTTTCCCATGACTAAGACAAGAGGAAGACGAGACGACAATAAGGTCAATAAACGATAACCAAGACTATATCAATATGCAATTTCGTTGACGAAATAAGACGAGACTAAAATATATCCAAAAAGATAAAAACTTTACCAAAAACCTCTTTTTATTTTCGTCAAAAAAAGGAGACAAAATGTTATTGCAGACCACAGGCCTCTACTACGCGATCTTTCATGAGTGCTGTTGCCAGATATCAAGAGCTCTAATCCCTGAATCAGAGCTTCACTGTTAAATTAATAAATTTCCTGCCCGGTGTGTTTTGTTTATTTTATGCAATCTGGCAACCAATCGCTCCTCAGTGCGGTGCAGAAGCGCCGCTGATGATCTGAAAACACGACAAACAAGATGGAGTTTAGCCATCTAAATGAAAGCATCATTCAGCCGGTCTTTGTTCTGTCAGGAGATCTCGACTGTATTGTTTGCGATTGTGATCGCTGAATAAATGCACTTACTCAACTGCTGTTGTTTTAATAGAGAAATAGACTATTGCAATTATGGAATAAGTGGAATTACTAGGAATTTCACTGTTATACTTTTCGTTTGTTTTAGCTGTTTTCATAATGCAGACAGAGAGATTGCATAAGTCTTTGGTGTTGATTTATATAATAAAAAGCCTATAATAAATCAGTACACTTTTTTTTTTAATCAGTACACTAGATGAGGTCAAATACACCATGTATGTGTCCAATTCTATTGATTTGTGCTTACTGGAGAAAGTGCAATACCTGAAATGCAAAAGTACATTTCTCGAATAACAACAATCATTACGATTATAATTTTGAGAAAAAAAATATTTTTATCAGTTTAACCATTACACAGAATGACGAAAATGTGACTAATATTTCATTGACTAAAAAGCCTGACTAAAATGCTCATGCATTTAATTGAATAAACAAAAACAGGACAAGTTTGTCTAAATACGATAACTAAAATGTAAATTTGAGTAAGACTAAGACTAAATTAAAAATGGCTGCCAAAATTAATATTGCTGTACGGTTAATTAATAATAATATTTTTGCTAAAATGTCAAGTTTTCATTGACTAAAACTAGACTAAAATTTTGAGACTTTTAGTCGACTAAAACTTGACTAAAACTAAATAGGATAAGGTTGACTAAATATGATTAAAAACTAACAACGACATTTTAGCCTGGGACTAAGACTAAGACTAAAATGAAAATAGCTGACGAAATTAACACTAATACACACACAAGTTTAACATGTTATTAATGAGTGATTTCTCATCTTCAGTTCCCAGAGCAGTGTTAAGTGTTTCTCCACAGAAGTGGCTGACTGAAGGAGATTCAGTGACTCTGATCTGTCAGGTTAACGGCTCCTCTACAGGCTGGACATTCAGCTGGTACACTGAAACTGTCTCATCAGGTAAGATATAATGTGCTTCATGTAGTAACATCTGAATAAACTGGTTTCATAAAACATATTATAGAGATTAAAAATATTTAATCATTCTGATTATACCAACAAAGGTCATTTATAAGACTCTCATTTCTTGAGGTAACTGCAAATTTTCACTTTATACAGCCAACAGCATTAATTATAAGCAGCTCTCAGACAGCAGCAGAGGAGCTGGAGGACACTACACTGTCAGTTCTGCTGCTCTAAAACACACAGGAGTTCATGTGTGCAGAGCAGAGAGAGGAAAACCAGCCTATAACTCAACCATCAGCAACACACAGTTAATATGGGTCACTGGTGAGTTCAAACTGAACCACACTCACTTTCCCTTGATCTTTTAGAGCTTTATGTGTCTTGAAATGTTGTCCTGTCATAATATACAGCTACTGTACTTTTTAATGGTGTCAATGGAGAAAGATGCTTTTTCTGTCAGGTGTAGATACTGCATCTACTAGCAGGGCCTAACTAGACCAAACTAACCAGCAAAACTTTGATTCCTGGGTTAGCTGCAAAGATGTAAAACGTTTAATTCTAATGGAGAAAAATTTTCATAAAAAAACTAAAATATAACTACAGTGGCACAAAAGTGTCACTTACACAAGTGGACTTGAGGGAACATAATCAAATGTATAATCTGACATTTTTAATAAATAGTGTTTTCATTGTGAAATTTATTTTAAATTTTTATGTCATTGACCACACCTTAATTCTAGGACCACATTTTACCAACAACACAGGACACTCCATCAATGTGCAAATCTGCAAATTTTTATAGGATGGACCAAATAAACACTTAATCAATCATTTTAGAGTTTGATTAATATCTGCCTACTAATTATATCTTAGTAATTTAATATACAACAAACTCAGCTAACTATAAATACGGGCTCACACTGTATAGGCAAAGAAGAACTGACCCCAGAGTTGAGTCTGGTTTCTCCCAAGGTTTTTTTTCTCCAATAGTAGCAGCTTATGGAGGTTTTTGTCACAGTTGTCTTTGGCTTGCTTGCTGATGGCATAATGACAAATATATTAAGGTGCAATTTTGTTTATGAATTTTAAATAGAAATACTCTGTGATGACTTTAGGATTTTCAGATTTTTTCTGAAAAGCTGCTTTGAAACAATTTAAGTTGTGTGAAGTGTTAAATCAATAAAACTGTCTTGACTTGATTTCCAGTGTAGTTGAAGTGTAGTTGTAATTGTCTTCTCAGGTGTTTCTCCTCCAGTCTCTCTGATCGTCAGTCCCAGCAGAACTCAACACTTCACATCTGACTCTCTCTCTCTGAGCTGTGAGGACCAGAGTAACTCTACTGGATGGAGAATGAGAAGATACAGAGACAGTGGGCTGCTGGAAGATTGTTCATCAGTTTGGGGATCACAAACAGGATCTACATGTACAATCAGATCCACCATCCCAGAGGATACTGGAGTGTACTGGTGTGAGTCTGAATCTGGAGAGAAACATCATCCTGTTAATATCACTGTACACTGTGAGTCTGTGTTTCTATATTTATTAATTTCACAAAGCCCTCATTTTATGCTTCAGCTATAAATAGCCGAATTGTGATCTCAATTTATTCACCGACGCAATCTTATTCCTAAATGACAACAAATCCGCTAGATTATTAAACTTTTGACTATTAAACCATTGCTCAACCTTTGACTTTTGTCATTAAAAAAATAAAATCATTGTGATTCTCAATTTATCCAGAATCGTGCAGCGAAAATGTATTAAAATTATCATTATTTTTAATGTATTGATTATTGTAACTCCTATTTGGGTTAGGTCTCAAACTTCTCCATGTACTAGAACAGCTTCCACTCGGCAAACTCGTCGCCCAATTTGCGTCATTCACATCTATTCGTGTTTTTGATTGTATTTTATTTGATTGTATACTGTCTAGTAATTTTTGATTGTCATTAAGTTGTAAGGTGTTCTTGCGTGTTTTGAATGGCACCTCTAAATAAAATGCTTTATTATTAAGTTGGCTTGAGAAAGCCAACTTACTGATATTGTATTTAAACTGGTTCTTCTTCTTCTGACCAAAAATTTAAACAGTATCTCCTCCTAGAGCTTTAAAGCTAGAACCACCAAACTCAGCCCAGACCTTCAGACTGTTCTAACTCGGGTTGCTATATCTTTTCAGACTGATCCGACTTACGGTTTTCCTAAAAATGGGGAAAATCCCATAGACTTTTATTGAACAGTCTTGGCTGATCTGAACATTCCGTCAAACTCCAACTGTGAAAATTCAAATTTAAACGCACTGACTCAATTAAAGTGCCATACAATGTACTATTTCTAAGCCATTTAAACTTATTCAAACTCATTTATCTATCTGTCTATCTATCTATCTATCTATCTATCTATCTATCTATCTATCTGTCTATCTATCTATCTCAGTCTGATTCTATCTATCTAATCTGACCATTTCTATCTCTCTATCTATCTTCATAGCAACACTCTAGCAACTATCCAAACCAACCTAGCAACCGCCCCGGGTACCCTAGCAACACCCTAGCAACCATCCCAGGTACCTTAGCAACTGCCATGGGTAGCCTAGCAACTGCATAGTAATACCATAACAACCACCCCGGGTACCCCAGCAACCGAATAGCAACACCCTAGCAACCATCCCAGGTACCTTAGCAACCGCCATGGGTACCCTAGCAACCGCATAGTAACACCTTAGCAACCACCCCGGGTACCCTAGCAACCGCATAGCAACACCCTAGCAACCACCCCGAGTACCTTAGCAACTGCACGGGGTACTCTAGCAACCGCATAGCAACACCCTAGCAACCGCCCTGGGTACCCTAGCAACCGCATAACAACACCTTAGCAACCAACCTGGGTACCCTAGCAACCGCATAGCAACACCCTAGCAACCATCCAGAGTATCTATCTATCTATCTCTCTCTCTCTCTGGTAGACTGTATTACCTTCAAAACATTCAAACTTTTAAAACTACTTTAAACTTCAAACTATTTAAGTCTGAAAACAATCAAACTTAAAACTTTTTAAAATTTCTTAAACTTTTCAAAACTTTTTAAAACTTTCTGGTCCGGCTGTCTCAAGCCAACTTAAAGTTTGTCGTGACAAACGTTTTTATCTAGTTATTATTATTGTTGTTTCTGTTGTCACCACATTGATTCTTACTATTTGTCAGTTGATGTTTGCTCTGTTTCTGTAGTTGGTGTGATTCTGGAGAGTCCTGTTCATCCTGTGACTGAAGGAGAAACTCTGACTCTACGCTGTTTATATCATCATTCAACCCCACCAAACCTCAGAGCTGATTTCTATAAAGATGGGTCACTCATCCAGAATCAAACTACAGAGATGATCATCCCTGCTGTCTCAAAGTCACATGAGGGTTTCTACTACTGCAAACACACAGAGAGAGGAGAGTCACGCAAGAGCTGGATCTCAGTCACAGGTGAGAGTAGGAACTGTAAACACTATTGAAATGCTTCTGGATAATATACAGCACTAATATGACTGTACAATGTATTCCTCCAAAACATCAGGATCTGATGGTCTCAATCCTGTGATAGTTGGAGTGACTGCTGGACTCACATTTTTGATCACTGTCTTCTTGGTCCTGCTGTGGCGCTACAGAAACAACAAAGGTTCATCTTCTGCCATATTAAAATTCAATGACACATTTCCTAAACCTGTGACCTGTCGTCCTACAACAGCCTAAGCTAGTTATCTGATCTTATTTTAAAGGGTTTTGGGGTAGTTTTCTGCTGGTACTACTCCAAATAATAGACTACTACAAATAAGCATTTATGTATGCATAAAGGAGATTGAAGTCATTTTTTGACTCCCTTATTTCCTCAAATATTTTCCTGAACATTTTCTGTTGGACTAGGTGGAAGATCTCAGTCTGCCTCCAGTGTCAGTCAACAGCAGAACAGCAGTCAGACATCAGAGCAGAACCAGAGTGAAGCTGGACATAAAACACTCAAGTCTGGTGAGTCTTTACCCATTAACCATAAATATTTTACAATAAATCTTTACAAGCTGAGATTGAAGATACTTAGAAATAACTTTCAACTCACAAGACAGATCTCACACTAAATAATTTCCCCCTCTTCTAAAGTGTAATGTGATATCTGTGTAACTGACATTTCAATTACATGTAATTCAGTTTCATTTCATTATAAATAATGCATAACAAAATATTTCACATGTAATTTAGAATGTTAATAGCTAGGGGTGACTCCGAATAGTCGAAGATTCGATGCTTCGATAGGAGGAGCCTGATTCGACTACCAATCTCAGTCGAATATTCGCGGGGTGTTATGATCATGCCATTTTGGCTATAAGGGGGTGCTCAAATGTCTGATTTCACATAGAACTACTGGTTTTCTCTCAATAAGTTAATATACAGCCTATTAAAATAATGCTGTAAATAAGAATCTGAAAAGAAAGAAGCTTCAAATCAATATTTTAACGTGCGTGAATAAATCCAACCACCCCTATAGATTTAAGTTTCACTTTCCATAATCCGTGACCGACAGAAGCATTGGCGGCAGGGATTTAAAACATTAACAAGACTCAAATTGACACAGACAGAGTGAAAGACTGGATTTTTTTTCCCGATCAGGTAGGGTACAAGTGATTTCAAAACATTTCAGCCGGTTTATATATATTGTGTATCAATTATTTATCTCGTATAAGAAGCATTTAATTCATAAGATGCATTGCTTGAGTTGTGCTGCAGTAAAGCGCTTCATAGTAGGGCTACAGTACTACGGTGAGTATCTCTTCAGCGCGCAGCACGAGCAGCACAAACAACAATGCAGAATATTAATAACTATGACTGGGACTGTCATATACATGTACAAATTGAAATGGGAAGGTTTAAAGGGGTCATATGATGTTGCTAAAAAGAACATTATTTTGTGTATTTGGTGTAATGAAATGTTTATGCGGTTTAAGGTTCAAAAAACACATTATTTTCCACATACTGTACATTATTGTTTCTCCTCTATGCCCCGCCTTTCTGAAATGCGTCGATTTTTACAAAGCTCACTGAAAAGCGAGGTGTTCTCTGATTGGCCAGCTATCCAGTGCGTTATGATTGGCTGAATTCCTTAAGCGTGTGATGGAAATGTTACGCCCCTTACCATATTGTGATGATGCCCTGTCAGGCCGGAGCGATGATTCAAAAACATGAAAACCCATTATAAACGAGGCATTCGTTGCATCCCGTGGGGACATAATTATGGATTATAATGACTTGTACTGTCTTTTTTCGCGTTGCGTTGCATCGCGCTGCGTAAACATAAAACCATGTCTGCATATGTGATCGGAGACATGACAAACAATAAGCCCTACTCTACACTGCCCAAAAAACTCACTTTAAATATAAAAAAACGTACTTATAATCTGTGAGTCAGAACAGCCGGCATTGTAGTCTACTCTACCAGGATCAGGAACTAGTCCTCCATAAAATGCGCTGCACACATCTGAATATTTGGGTTGAACTGTTCTGGAACAGTGTTGTAAATACAACTTAACCACTGATTTCTAGTCGTGTCCATTTTTGGAAAGCCAAACAAAGTAGTTTCGCTTTCACAATGAAACACAGCGTCACACACGGCGGCCTAGATTGAGCGGAGGCCGGGGGCTAGCGTGAGGAACGGCGGGAAGGTTAGAGTGAGCAGAGGCGGCGGGCTTGAGAACGGCGCGGCCGGCGGATTCGACGAAGGAGGCTTGCGGCAACCACATGTGACGACCCCGGGGTGGACTCCGCTTCGTCCACGGTGAAAGCCGATCCGGCGATCCACAGCACAAAGTTGTAGTATTTCCTCAGCGACCAGCACGGATCAGCTCCAGGCATGACGAAGCAGATATCGTACCTCTTTTGGAAGACCAAACAAAGTAGTTTCGCTTTCACAACGAAGCACACAGCGTCTTCACGACATGGCGGCGGCAACAATAAAGAATAAAAGTTACGCCTTCTTACTTTGCGTGAACATTTGGGAGGCGTTATGCAAATCTTCCCAGATAGTGACGTAGACATGTTGGGGCGTGTTAGAACGAGCCGTTTTAGGTAGGTGTGGCTGACTCTTAACTCTTATAAAGAATATCTCTTTGGATTTGAGACTTTAGTCTTTGCAACTTTACAGATCTTCTTTATGCACCAATAGCTTGTAACACTTCAAAGAGAAAGGAAAAATTGAAATCGCATCATATGACCCCTTTAAATAAAGTTGATTGTATGCGAGATATCGCGAGAGTAGAGAGCGGGAAGAAACGAGAGATAGAGAGAGAGAAAGGGGAGAGACGCACGAGGTAGTCGGGTGCACTGTTAAGTGCGGTTGCCAGTAAAAGAAAGAAGAAGAGGTAGTCAGGTGGAATGAGGCAGAGACACAGCTAATGAAAATGTTGGAAAATAAACACTGAGTTCGAAGCACAGAAGTCTTGGTCTGACTCTTCTATCCAGTGGCCGTAACAGATACAGGAAATAGCCAAGAACCCGCGGATAATACTCGGTAAGCACAGACTTTTCAAAGCCCACCAAAACTGAGTATTACATACATAACAATTATAATGAGAACACTATTATAATGAAACACTGTGATTTTTTTTTTTGTTTAGTTGCTGTTTTTCTGCACGTTGTTGTGTGAAGAGCGCGTCCACAAAAGGAGTTAATTCAGAGCCGCACAGACACATTCGTGCATTCAGGGCATTTCGTGCAGATAAGTCGTAATATTAACGTTATGTTGTATAAACAATGACACGTATTCTATATGAAATAAATGATGAGTTAAATCCAAGCAGCAACCTCCCGCTCTCTCTTGTGAAGCCAACACAGAAGTGACTAAAACTGTAATTCATCAACTGGCCGCTAGAGGCTGGCTCCAAAAGGGAGTCAGTCCCATAGATGCCCCATGTTAAAATGCCCAACTTTACAGCTGAAAAAAATTATGTTTACAGCCTGGTACAAAAAGTGGTTTTGGTCTATATAGCTAATTTTGCCCTTCATGACAACTGTGAGGGGGGTGAATTTTTTTTATAACTCGTCCGTTTAAATTATATTAAGGCTTAAAGTTCTGCATAATTAAAGGTGCTATATGTAAGTTTTCGTCGCTAGAGGGCGCATATTCAAAACAAACAAGAAACAAAGGCGTAGTTTGATGATGTCGTGATTGAGTGTGGAATCATGGGAGTTGTGGTCTTCATCCCCACAGCCGATGCAATCCGACGGGACTCGGGCAGAAATCATGTTCATTGATGAGCTAATGTATTAAAGACTTATTAAGGAGTAACGAATCAGCTCATGAGGAAATATGAATAATTAATCATAACTAGTTATAATTATGAATATTTAGATCCACTGTAGATATTTAGCTGATCTCTCAGGGTCAGTATCTGGTGTCAGTGTTGCTATGGAACCAGGGGCCTGTTCGGCTTCCTGGGGTGTTACAGAGTATTTGTTAAATCTAGCTAACAAAATATATATTGTGTGTTTGAGTGGTCCAGACGCTACAAAGGTCACTGTAGTGTGAAGCAGGGTGGGGCTAAAAGTCGTGGAAGCGAAACGAGGCAGCTGGAGTGATTGCTAATGAAGGACGAGCGCGATACACGGCTCAAAAGCAGCAGAGCTTTTATTATGCCACAGTCGACCGCTTCCGCTTCTTCCGGTCATGCGTATGTGGGGTAAAACAGCGCTGTTTTATACTAGATACATTTGAGTGTATTGAAAGTTCTGTTATAATGCTACTCTGTGCATTCGTCACCTGTCTAATAAAATGCATAACATATTAAAGTGTCTTTGGGGTTTCCATGTTTTCAACAAAATAAAACCGGAAATTGAGGGGTTATGACGTCTTTGGCAGGCGATGCAATGACACTATGGACACGGTCCATTACACTAGTTAAAATTGCTTATTTCTCTGGATTTAAACATTCTTCAAAACATTTGAGATAATGTAAGTACACAAGTCAGCAAAATCTATAACACTGTTCTAGTGGTTTTGGGATATTTTAATAAAAAAATCTTACATATTGTGCCTTTAAGGGCGTGGCCACTTGAGTGACAGGTGGATTGCCGCTGCTGTCACCACCGTCGAGCTAGGTGGGTGGGGTTTCAGCAACCAGCTCCCGCCTCTTTGCCCATTTTCGATTATCCAGGAGTGACGCGCTGCCAAGATGGCGACAGCCGGCTCCGCCCATTTTGAGCTTCAAAAACGCTCTTCAGAAACCTACGGGTGACGTCACGGACACTACGTCCATGTTTTTATACAGTATAGGGTTAAATCCGGGTGTGCCTCACACATCCTGAAAAGTGAAGCTGCGGGCTCTTTGATCGCCCCCTGGTGGCTGGCTGCAATACAGGTCATAAACCTTGCCCTCTCCATGTAAACGAATGGGACTTGAGTCAAAATAAAAAAAATTAATTACACTTCCAATACAATTTTCCGAAAGATGGTTTTGGTCATTTAATGTAGTTGTCATCACGCTGATATATGTTCAATTGTTCATTTTTTGTGATAAGTTTGATTTTAGCTAGTAATTTGATGCTATAAAAACGGGGCGTGTCGTTATGGTTGATTGGGTCTGCAGGAGTTTGGGCGGGAGTTTGATAGTGGCTCCACCTCACGACACTACTGTGCAAACTCTGGCTCCAAACGAATCTCTACTGCGCAGACTCTGGCTCCAAACGAATCTCTACTGCGCAGACTCTGGCTCCAAACGAATCTCTACTGCGCAAACTCTAGCTCCAAACAAATCTCTACTGCGCAGACTGGCTCCAAACTAATCTCTACTGCGCAGCTCAAAACAGAAATGCAGAACATTAATAACTACTGTCATATACATAACGTTATAATGAGAGCACTAAATGTGAATTCTTAGGGTTTCGCTGACGTTTAATGTTAACTATCTTTTAATCAAAACATAAAACATTATTTACCCCATTTGTATCTGCGAGGCGCCACATTTTCCATGTGTGTTAACATAATTATGACTGTCGAATGTCTGACTTGACTCTTGGTAATGTATTTTGCCCCGCCCCCAAAACCTATGATTCGACTATCAGTCGAATGTCGGCAAGATTCGAAAATTATTAATTAGCACATGATATATTTAGCTGAGTTTAGCTTTAATCAGTGTCAACATGAAAACACTATTTTTCTATGGGCTTAAATTCATGAGATGCATTAATTTATTACAGGAACTGCTCATATTTATGACTCTCTTGATGCCACAATTAACAAAAACATCAGCACAGGTAACTAATGATGTTACAGAAGGTAATTATGTCATGTTGATCATTTACTAAGGCAGTAGGTATTTTATAAATAATCAAATCCATCTTAGTTTTACATTTCACTGGGATATTTGCAGAGCAAATTCAGTTAAAACAAATATCTTATTCTTTTCTCTGTTATTCATTGTAGACATTGTAAGTGGACCTAATGAAGTCACCTATGCTGAGATTGAACTCAAATCTACAGAGAAACAGAAGAAAAAGAAAGAAAACAAAGGTAAACTGAAACGAAAGTTCATGCTCTTATGGTTTTATGATCATGACAGTAAGTGTACAGCAGAGCTAAAAACCTCTGGGGTAAAAAGCCCCTTCTCTAAACAGCCGTTGTGAAATCAGCCTGATCCATAAAGGTCATTGCATGCAAATTACAATATAATATTTTGAGGTAATTTGGTCAAACATATAATTGATTTAAAATTAATTATTTTATTCTCTCTCTGTAGATGTAGAGCTTTTATGAATATGATGACACATTTCATATCACTGTTGGACACACAGTAAGCACTAGTGATATTAACTGTTGGCATCTTTCAGGTAATACCAGTGAAAGTTCAGACACTGTGTACTCTCAACTGAATCTGGTAACTCATCAAGGTGAGTCTCAAAGTAAAAACATCAATCACAAGGAGCCACTGACAACTGCATACAAGCACCGTTGAGAATCTAAGAATAAAATGAAGTATGCAACAATTCAAATGTGCATTTTAGCATTTTTAATTGATTTACACATTTTCAGCTGCTGGATCTAGTGATGTGATGTACGCTCAGGTTAAATAAATGGCTGGAGGAGAAACATTCAATCCCAGGACGCTGATGAGTTTAGGCTGAGAAGGGCTGGAGAATGACCAGGATCATCAATTCTTTATCATCTTTGTGATGCTGAACACTTGATGGCAATAGAGTTATCAGCCTTCATGTGGTTCAGTGACTATGCATGCTAATCTTTGAAAAGCAATGAGATTTATACATTATACATTGGAAAAAACAGATGATCTTTTAGTACCGCACAGTGTTTATTTTTATTGGTTGATACCAGCAGAGGCAGCAGCTCATTATTTGACTGTTGATTGAGACCAGGTTTTGTCTTGATTTTAAATGTATTTGCAACATGGTCATGAACAACCTAGAAATACCTGGCAATTTAATATGGTGACTTCCAGGTCTGCAAGAGTTGTATATGATCATCAAATGTATATGATGAGTATATATTTTTTGTATGCTCAACTGTAAAATGATTTTTAAAATCCTTATTCTGCAATCCCAAACAATTGAAAAATTGAAATTGAAATAATTGAACAATTCATTAACATAATCAAACAGTTAGGGAATTCTGTTGCTTGTTTGTCTTAGACTATTTATGTTTTCAGAATACAACTAGAATCGTCATTTTACTGTAATTTTAATTATTCTTATATTTATAAAATATTTCATTGCTATAAATACCTCTATGTGAGTCTAATCTTTAGATTTTAAAACTGCTTAAAAAGTTTTCCACTTCTGTTGCAGCTTGCTTGTTCTTCTTAGTTGTAAATGAGAATAATTGTTCACAATTATAATTATAAACTGTAGTTTTGCTGTAATATGTATACTTTTTATCTATATCTTTATTACAATAAAATAAGATCTAACTGCTACAATGCTAGCATGTAGCATGAGCGACTTGGTCATCATAAATGTGATGCAACATAACATTCATGTTTATGGTTGAGCAAATATGTATAAATATCTCTGAACAATTTGAACAGAACTGAATTTACATCTAAACACGTCTTCAATGCCTCCAAATTTTTTTTATTGTTTCTAAGAGAATTAACTTGTCAATATCCTTATGCAGTTTTTTTATTTTGAAAACTAGGAGTAGGTCTAGGTTGAAATTGGTGCCAAATTGTGTTTTTGACATTGCGGATTCATTAACTACTTCCGCATTTCCTGAAATCCCTCACCCATATTGTTCAAACATGAACAAGTAAGTGTCTGACACACACACTGTGTATCTGTGTAACCAGAAAAGGAAGCCTTTGCCTATTATCCATCTGATCATTTAGATCCGATCAAATCCACAGATTCTGCATCTTGGCTCTGTCTGTGAGCTGTGAGTGAGGTGTTTCAGTGCACAGATGATATGCCTTTTGAGTAAATGTTTTATATTAAACTAAACAAGACAATCTTCTGATTCAGATGATACAAGGTACACTCTGAAAAAAAGGTACAAAAAGCTGTCACTGGGGTGGTCACTTTTTAAAGGGTACATTTTTGTACCTTTTAGATGCACTTCAGGTACTAATATGTACCTTTAAGGTATCGCCATGGAAGCTTTAAGAACAAAGGTGTACCATCTGAAGAGGTACCGCCTAGTGACAGGATTTGTACCTTTTTTTTGAGAGTATGTCATTCACCTTACGGAATAATTTAAATGTAGATTTTTCTACTTCAGAATTATAAATTTTTTTGTAGGATGATGTTCACGTATGTCTGTATTACAGCTCACCCTGTGATTACAACACACTCCAGTTTTCTTCATATGAAGAATAATAGTGTAAATAATGCTTTCAGTTTACACAAACTCAGTGCCTTTATGTATTCAAAAAGCACATGCTTACAGTAAAATACAGACCTAGACTGACATGTTTCAAGATTTAAAACCATTACAGCACATCAAATGAGACACTATGTCTGTCTTTTACCGTAGACTATTTACTTACAATCAGCAAGCAGCTTTTGAGTGAGGCATTTGAGAATTTTGAGCACCATGCTTCTCTGTCCTCATATCACATGTTGTTTTCCATAAACTGTACAATAAAGAAATATTTATGACATGGCATAAAATTTGCATCTTATTTCTATGGCAAATGGTCTAACCAAAATATTCAGGCTCCTCCTACTATGTCAGAATCCTTTTAAATACACACACTTCCGTCAGCTGATTCATCTGACCATTTACCTAGGCAGTTAGAGAAAGAGAGAGTTGTCACTAATGCAGGTAATTTCTTGTTACTAGAGATTTTATGTCCTTTTGGGTGCAGTAAAATTAAAAAGAAATCTGTGCCAGAGCAGTGGAGAAACAATACAAATTCAGGATGTTTGGGATCTTATTTTCAGGAAGGTGACGATGGATTCATCTAGTACAGGAATTCTCAAGGAAGATGTGAAAGGCAAAATCAATCTCATGAATATTGAATATAAGAAGGTTTACCGAAATACTGTTTAACATCTCATTTGCATAAACATAGCCACTATGTTAAGACTGTGTCTTAAGAACTATTGACCCACTAGCAGATAACCAAGGAGTAATCAGTCTTTTTGTATTCAAATTAGACCAATCTACCTGACTTAAAAAAAGTTTTGATTAGTCTTGAAGGAAAAAAAAAAAAAGACTAACTTAGAAGACTTGACTAAGCGGTTTATGCATCCGGCCCCTGAGCGAAAGTTACATAAGACATACCCGGAAGAGACATCCCTAGAAAAGACGTCCATTTACAGTCTCATTTCAATTTCAGCTTCATATTTTTCTATATTTTATTTCAAATATATATTCATTTATGCACCATGAAGAACAGGTAAACTTTAAACGTTTACGTTTTTTTGTTTGGCCTTCCAAAAGAGGACGATATCTGCTTCGTCATGCCTAGAGCTGATCCGTGCTGGTCGCTGAGGAAATACAACAACTTTGTGCTGTGGATCGCCGGATCGGCTTTCACCGTGGACGAAGCAGAGTCCAGCCCGGGGTCGTCACATGTGGTTGCCGCAAGCCCTCCGGACGCTCCTTCGTCGAATCCGCCGGCCAGCGCTCACTCAAGGCCGCGGTGTGTGACGCTGTGTGTTTCGTTGTGAAAGTGAAACTACTTTGTTTGGCCTTCCAAAAGAGGACACGACTAGAAATCAGTGGTTAAGTTGTATTTACAACACTGTTCCAGAACACTTCAACCCAAATATTCAGATGTGTGCAGCACATTTTATGGAGGACTGTTTCCTGATCCTGGTAGAGTAGACTACAATGCCGGCTGTTCTGACTCAAAGACTGTAAGTACGTTTTTCATATTTAAAGGATTTGCCACTAATGATTCAAACGCGAGTTTTGAGCAGTGTAGAGTAGCGTTTGTTGTTTGTCATTTCTCCGATCACAAACGCAGACATGGTTTTATGTTTACGCGGCGCGATGCAACACGTAAAAAGACAGTATAAGTCATTATTATTGTAATTATTTCCCCACTGGATGCAACAAATGCCTCGTTTATAATAGGTTTTAATGTTTTTGTCTCGTCGCTCTGGCCGGGACACGGCATCACAGTATGGTAGGGGTATAACATTTCCGTCACATGTTTGAGGTATTCGGCCAATCACAATGCACTGGATAGCTGACCAATCAGAGCACACCTCACTTTTCAGACCGATGAGCTTTGTAAAAGTCGACGCGTTTCAGAAAGGCGGGACATAGCCCCGAGGAGAAACAATAATGTACAGTATGTGGAAAATAATGTGTTTTTTTAACTTTAAACAGCATAAACACATTTCATTACACCAAATAATGTTCTTTTTAGCAACATCACATGACCCCTTTAATGAATTCTGAGTTAAATGCTGCACATGGATGCGGGTGGATTGAGATGTTTAAGTGTCTGTTTGGTTATTCATGTAGCGTCTGCGTAGAATCATGCATGATCTTTGGGTTTTATGGCTTAAGAGACCCTTTTAGCGTTTGACATTTGCATATAAATTACAGTCCTGGTCACAGACTTTACACTTATATGGGTGCTAAATGTCAAATGGTTCCCCCCCACTATCAAGGAGATGCTAAACAGTTTCACCACTCTCGTCTTCCCATTGAATTTCAAACACATTCCAAAGAGACGTAAATGACCCCCGGGGTCAGGCACCAATGGACCTGGCTGACCAGCAACCTACAACATGCTCACATAACACACACCCACACACACATAAAGACATTTCTTTATTTAGACTATAATTAATCAGTTATAATTGTATCTGGTATATGCATGTGTTGTTTGTATGTTTCCCCATTGTATTAGCCTAGTTACAACTCTTTATATGTATCAGTTAGACTCTCAATGCTTATATTCAGGTATATGAGTGTATCTCTGCTTTAAGATCTTCTAGATGTTTCGTTCTTGGTATCAAAATGATCAGCTCTTTATTCCTCAAACAATGATCTACACTATGTGATCGTGAAATGCATCTTACTATTTGTAGCATATTTTGGATAAAACTGCACCAATCTTCCAGACCAGCAATAAACATGTAAATGGGCCATAAACAGAGACAAAGAAAGTTTCTCCCGCTCAAAATTCATGCCTCTGATTGGCCATTGCACCCAAAAGGTGGGTGTGGATAGGAACTATCAAAAGTCATTAGCTCAGACTAATCTTGGCTCAGAAACCCTCTTCGTTTGAGACGACACTTTTCCAAGACTCAAGATTTTCCTCTTGAGTTCTGATTTTCCGGCAGTTTTTATCTTCAAGTAACTGCGATTCGCTGTGGACTTTTCCTATCCTCAGAAGACCCAGAAGTAAACTTCCAGCTCACTCCTAATGAACTCATCAAAGACCTCAGTTATCTACCGCATCAGGACTCTTGTTAAGCAATCGAAGCCAATGCAAGTAACCGTTTACAATTATTTAGATGCGTGTTTAAGTTTCAGCCCCTTTTAAGGTGATTTTTGATTCTTTGATGATTTTCAAAGGTTGTGGTTAAGTGATGTGAAATACTGCCATTCTTTTACTTTCCTCTCTCTTTTCCTTACTTTGTTTCATTCTGTATATATGTGTTTTGCTCAGTTAGTTATATGTTAGATATAGTTTCATTTATTAAATCCCTTATATTCACGATCGATTGCCTCTCTTTGCTGCTCACAATTCGAAGTCAATGAATGTTTGAACCCTTGCTACATTTGCTAAATTACTGCTAGCACTGCATAAAGAAGGACAGTTTATTCTTCCTTGGCCAGGAAAATAATCGTTCCTTGAATTGATAAATGATTATATTGTCTGCTCGGTGGACGGACAGATCAAATAATTGTAAAATTTATTCTGCTACAGTTAATTCGAAGATATAATCTAAATATTTATTATTAATCATAACCAGTTATAATTAGTCATAAATATTTCCCTCTTGAGCT